CCCAAGTTAATCTGAAGAGGAGGAGGAGGAGGAGACTGGTTGTTGTTAATTGTTGTTGCATGTGCTTGAGAAATGAGGAAATTGTGAAACACCTTCTTTTGCATTGCCCTGTAGCTTGGGATTATTGAGTTTTGAAATTGGGTTTGTTCAGGGTTCAATGGAATGAATGGATTATGCCCAGGTCTTCCATAGGCTTGGTCGAGGCTTGGAGAGGTTGTATAGTGGGGCCCAAGCTCATGAATTCTGGAGGGTCATGCCCTTGTGCATTTGGTGGTGTTTATGATTTGAAAGAAATAGGAGATCCTTTGAAGGAAAGGAGACCCCTATTGTTGCGCTGAAGTCTTCCATTATTAGCAACCTTTCTGCTGGGTTTGGGTTCAAGGGAGAAATTGTAAATCCATAGATGATATAGTTCATTTTTTGGACTCATTGAGAGTTTAGAGGTCCCATTTGGCCTTGTGTAGCTTTTCAGGGATGCATTCCCCTTTTGAACGTTTCTTAATATAATTTTACTTACCAAAAGAAAAAACTATATAGCCTCCATCATTGACAGTTCAGTTGCTTGTCTTAATTGTTCTTTATCACTCTCTCTCCAAGAATTTCATAGTTTGACTCATTAATTTAGTACCACAAGTATTGGTCTAACTTTATATTTTCCCATTATTTTATATATTGGTATTAAAATACTTTTGTGTGGTCTACCATTCTCTTAGTAGCTATTTTTTTAACTAAATTTGTTAGCCGGCGTCTCATTATCCTAACATCAACAAGAATGTCCACTGGTCCTAAAGCCCTTCTAGATTTCATTTTTCTTAATACATTTCTAACCTCGTACCTTTTTATCCTAAAATAATAGATATATATATATATATATATAATAGATTCTTCTCAGTCTAAACTTCCAAAATGATTTTCATTTAATAGCTCCTCAAGTAACTTTTGCATCTTTAAATTCGTCATATTTTGCACGTTTGCCACGTCTTCTCTAAATCTAGAACCACTCCTCCTCCTTTATAAAAGTGTTCTTATCACTCCCGTTGAGACTCGCCGTCGAAGGAACAAGTTCAAGAAACTTCTCTTCTACCAAATAGACCCTGTAGTAGAGTCCTTCATCATTCACCAGAATCGATGCTGCAACAACACCACCATCTTCAACTGAGATGATAATCTTGCTAGCATTTTCGGTTTCAAAAGCTTGGTCTCCATTTCCGTGGGGAAAGGTCCAATTCCTACCAAGAAATTGATGGAGATCAATGGCAGAAATTTTTAAAGGTGTATAAAAAGGGCAAAATAGAGGTTCTAAGACTCAAGCTGGCATAGGTTAGATAATATGGGTCCACTTGGACTTTTGAAAAATTAGGAGATTTGGTCAACTTTTACTTACTTTAATTATGGTATTAGGTAAGTGTTGATTACCTCAATTATGGGGTATCCTATAGTCAAATATTGATTATCTCAATTATGGAGAAATCTTATAGTCAAATATTAATACCCATAATTGAGTGATTACTTTTATTATGCTATAGAGTCAACTATTGATTACCTCAATTATGGGGTTATCCAAGGGTCATGAGTTGCACTCACAGAATACTATAAAAGGGGTAGAATGTAATCTTGGTGGTCAATGAATGAATGAATAAAAGAAGTGTTACGAAATTTCTTGGTGACTGATTCATAAGATATAAGGGTGTGAGGCCTTCGCTAGGTGTGATGCCTATACCCTGTTGGTGTGATTCCAATACGCTTTTTGTTATTTTCATATCCTTTCTCTCTACTAACACCTCTTGAACCCCAATCCTATTCATTTGTACTTTCAGCCATAACTCTTATTTGTTTCAATTATTCTAGGATGTTCTTTGTCCTACTTCAGTTTTTGGTATCAGAGCCTAAGTAGACCTTATGTTTACTCGATCAGGTAATTAGGAGATTGAGTTGTTGTCACATATTGTGGAACAACTTAAAGGGCTGAATGCTCGATGCGATGAGATAGGAGCTCGAATTTCGTGGCAGTTTAACAAATCGGTAGCCCTTGAAGAAGGATCTGCATTTGGTATTAATGATGGAAGAAATCGCGATCTACAACAGCCTTTACACTCACAGCAAAGGCGTGATTTGAAGGTTGACCCACCCCTACATCCCATGTTGGAGTTTCCAAGAAATCCAATAGAGGATATGAGCTTTATGATGCCACTGGAGATATTATAAAGAAGTTAAGTGATGGAACTCGCAGCACACGTACAACAACAATGATGCCAGATGGTGGATCAAAATCATCTTTCTATAACATGGCTGATGTCGAAGGAAAGAGTACAATGGCTGGCTAGCAAGGATAATAAGTACCTGCTTGAAAATGAGAAGTACAACACTGATCAATCAGGAATAGGATGAAGATAATGTCTCCTCCATCTTCGTTGTGAGGCAGATCCTTGAAGACCCTAAAGTTGAAGGCGAAGAAGGCTGCTCACATCTAATTTTCAGATGCAAGTTCGTTGTGGAAAGCAAGTTCGGAAGCCTATTATTGATGGCAGTGGCTGCCCAAGTGCTATCTCCACAGCCCTCTCAAACTTTCCATCCAACCATATCCACAACCGTTCAAAGTGGCTTGGATAGATAGTACTTATATTCCGGTGATTCATTCAAATGAGGAGAGGCAGTTTAACACAACCATAATTCTTGGCCTTATTCACAAGAACTTGCTGAACCTTACAGAATACAACAAGAACATGGAAAAGATTATTGATGTTGGGAGGAATAAAGTTGCCGATAATGCTGCAGTTCTTGCTGGATTTGCTTCTGGCAAAGATGATAGGGTCAAGCAATCCCAAGAATAGAAGTGATCTGACTATGCTATTACAAGCAGGGATAATTATATCAATGCTGAGTCTGATTGAGCAGATCCTACGAGTTCTAGTGATCAGGTTTCTGTACTATTTGCGAAATGGTACTAGGTATCTGAACTTCATGGTACAAATGATGTTTTTTGTACTCACTTTATTTCAAAGTTGCAGCAAAGTGGATGTCATAATGAGGATGATGAGTCAAAAGATGATTTTTTTCTTGGGTTGCCTAGACCAAGTCAAAGACATGATGCCATATTCGTTGTTGCGGATTGTTTTTCGAAAAAGGCGCACTTCATCTCTTATTCTAAGACTTTCGATGTTGTCAATATTGCCAAACTTCTTTCTCAATAAGTTGTCCGGCTTCATGGGTTTGCACAACACCATTGTTTCTGATCGAGATGTGAACTTTATGAGTTTTTTTCAGCTATCATGGAAGTTGTTGGATACGAGGCTGAAATTTTCTTATTCTTTTCACCCACAAACTGATGGCCAAACTGATGTCATTAATTGCAGCTTGGGTGACTTGCTTCATTCTCTTGTTGATGACCATATTACTAGATGGGACCAGATTCTTCCTATGGCTGAATTTGTGAACAACACTTATGTAAACAAGACCATTGGGAACAGCCCCTTTGGAATTTTGACAGGTTTACGTCCTAGGAAGCCAATTGATTTAGTCCCTTTACCAATTGAGGCACGCCCTAGTGCAGAAGCTAATGCTTTTAGAAAGCATCTCCAGGATATTCATGCAGAAGTTCAAAGGAAAATTGCAATGAGAGTCACAAGGCACAAGCTGATTTTCAGAGTGGTTATCAGAAGTTCCTTGTTACATGGAGGGACCATCCACTTTCTTTTTTTTTCCCTAATTGGTACTCACAGACACATGTCTCTTCTGAGACTGGAACCCCTGACCTCCCTTTGGGAAGTAAGAGGCCGATACCGCTAGGCCACTGGCCCGTTGGCGACCATCCACTTTTTTATTGTACTTGGATTGCTGATAGTGAGTTCCAATACCTAGCCCCTGACCTATACGAGCAATTTCATCCCTTGAACTCGTCGGGGTCGAGTTTTTCTAAGCAGGGGAGAATTGATGGAGATCAATGGCAAAAAATTTTAAAAGTGTATAAAAGGCGCAAAATGGAGGATTCTAAGACTCAATCTGGCATAGGCTAGAAAATATTGGTCCATTTGGAGTTTTGAATAATTGGCAGATTTGGTTAACTTTTACTTACTTTAATTATGCTACTGGGTAAGTGTTGATTACCTCAATTATGGAGTATCCTAGAGTCAAATATTGATTATCTCAATTACAGGGTAATCGTAGAATCAAATATTAATTACCTCAATTATGGGGTGATTACTTTTATTATGCTATAGAGTCAACTATTGATTACCTCAATTATAGGGTTATCCAAGTATCATGAGTTGCACTCACATAATACTATAAAAGTGGAAGAATGCAATATTGGTGGTCAGTGAATGAATGAACAAAAAAAAATGTTACGAAATTTCTTGGTTAGTGATTCACAAGATATGAGGGTGTGAGGCCTTCTCTAGGTGTGATGCCTAGACCCTGTTGGTGTGATTCCAATAGGCAATTTGTTGTTTTCATATCCTTTCTCTCTACTAACACCTCTTGAACCCCAATCCTGTTCATTTGAACTTTCAGCCATATTATTCTACGGTGTTCTTTGTCCTACATCATAAATGATCCTCTTCCTCCAAATCAGGTACGCTAACCACGGGTGATTCAAACCTCCATTATCTACTCCAAAAAATGATTGAACAGTCATACGCACAAGCACAGGAAAGCACTGCCGGCCAAATTCCGAACTCAGAAGAAAACTAAAAAAACCTCCAATAGACTTTACCAGCTATGAACACCAGAGTCAGACCATAGTTTTCTAAAACAACTCGAAAATCCCAATGGAACACTAGGCAGAGAAAGTTAAGAGAGATGAGCTTTCAACTAACTCTTTCTATTATGTTTAATATCTAGACGCTGAAGACCCAAACCAGAACTGAATCACCAATCACTTCAGCACCATTATAATTCCATAAATCAAAACTAATGCTCCAAACCTAGTTTATTTACTTCCAGTCATATTAAATTAAATTACTTTAAAAACTGAAGAACTTGAGAAGTAAACAGATTATTACCTTCTTGCGCTTGCCCGTGACTTTAATCCCACTACGATCAGACTTTCCAACATTAAAATCAACAGCCGTAACTCCTCCTTTATCTCTAAAAGCCAGGTGGGTAGGTGCCAAGCCGATCACGCACAAGCTTTGAATCACAATAAGCAAATACACATTCTTGTCGATATTTAGAATGTATTAAAAAAATAATAATAAAAAATAAATAAATAAAGGACTTGTACCCATTGACGTGGCGATAAACATACTGATCATGTCCTGGTTTCATGAAATCTAAACAAATAAAAAATATAAATGCAAACAAAATGAAATTATTTTTCGACTTTAATTGCTCAGAAAAAGATTTTAATCCAGAAAAGATTTTTAAAAAAATCAAAAAAATCTTAGAAATTCTTTTGCTTTCTCTGTAATTTGGCATGACAAATGAACCTGGATAAAAGTAGACAGCGAAGTTGGATTCAACAGCACAAGGAGGAGCGAGAGGAAGACTTTGTACATCTGGAACTAGAAGCTTCCGCAATTCTTCTTCTTCTTCTGAATATTGTTGTTGTTGGGTCGACTCCGAAGAAGGACAAGGAACAGATTGGACTGTGAGATTGTTATTTTCCGCTGTGTTTCCAACAACATTGTTCGTCTCGTCGGCGTTTTGCTCTTTCATTGAATTGAAAATCCAACGGCCACCAGAAAATGATCGCGTAGTCCGTACAACTTCCAAGTCCACCTTACCCTAGCAGGTCAACCGTCCACTTCTTTAAGTTCTTTTGTACTATGTATGTATGTATGTATTACTCCGTATATTATTGAATGCAGTATTATTTGGGCTAAAATTTGATTTTTCATACGTTTACTGAATTAAGTAAAAAATATCCTCTACATTCTTATTTCAAAATAAATATCGTGTACACACTTGTTTTAAATTATTAAATTATTCTTTTTAAATCAAATAATTTTTTCACTCAAACAAATTAGAAAAACTCATTCGCATATAATTGATTTTTAATTCTTTCAAGTACATATATGTTTAATTGCAGCAATATGTTATACCACCACGTTTTTGTCTGAGCAGAAACTCTGAAATTTAGTTTAAGTACTCATACTAACAGTGTAGTTAAAAAGAAAATAATAATACTAACAGTAAAAGCTCCATGCATTTTGTTCTGGATTCTTTTGGTGTGTGAGAGCAAATTTTAACTTTTCTACAAAGGATATACTTCTTACAGTATTTGGAGTGAATTATTTTTTTATTTCTCAAGGGATCTAAATAAATAAAGAAATGCTTAAGGTGTCAAGAGATAATCGGAATAGCAAGTTTCTGTTGCTTCACAAACCAAACCACTTATCAGATAACTAGAAAATGGAAATTAATTAATAATTACAAGAAAAATTATATACAGTGGCACTCCTTGCAAATAACCAACGGCTAATTAGTTAAAGGAAATCTGGCTAATATTTTCTTAAAGTTTGTGGAAGTAATAAGGCAACGTCGCCTAGTCAAAATCTAGGTGGCTCCCACGACATTATTACTGGAATGTAGGAAAGACAAAATCACAATAAAGTTCAAAAAAAAGAATAAAGATTAGGTCTAGGAGTACAGCGACCCAACCATGAATCGTCGATTGAAGGACCCAGAATCTTGATATGACCCAAGCACGAGTCGTCAATCGACGGGTCTAGAACCTCGATCCGATCCAAGCACAAGTCGTCGATCGACGGGCCTAGAACCTCAATCTGACCCAAGCACGAGTCGTCAATCGACGGGCCTAGAACGAGTCGTCGATCGACGGGCCTAGAATCTTGATCCAACCCGACCACGAATCGTTGATCGACGGGCCTAGAACCTCGATCCGACCCAATCACGAATCCTCAATCAACGGGCCTAGAACCTCGATCCGACCCGATCACGAATCATCGATCGACAGCCCTAAAATTGTCCAACCTAACCAGAACGAAGAGTAAATGGTAGGACTTACTTCGTTATCAGGGGGAATACAGAAGGGACTTTAGAATTGAGAAAAAGAGTTAGTCAAGTCTTACAAAGCAAGACCCAATTCGAGGACCAGAGTGAGAGATAACCGGAATGAGTAACGCTACAGTTATGCCTGATCCTACCTGGGTCATTTAAGAGAGCGTTACACTTATTAAGTAGGTCCTGAAGAATAGGAATTAGGGCAGCGTGATCTTAATGATTACATGAGCCCTACCCTATTTAGAAAGAGGCCCAATAAGTGGTAATAAATCCCCCTTTAGTGACCTTAGGCTATAAAAGGAAGGAATAAAAAAAGGTTAGAGGCAGGCCACTCAGACCATACACTCCGGGCATCATCTCTCCTACCATCACTCCAATCCTCGCTTTTGGGCTAGCTTTCTCGCCCTTCTCAGCTCTTCTGCTTTCCTCATATTATTTTAAGTGATATATCTCATACTCATTGACCTTTCAACGGTATAGTAGAAACAGGTATCTACAAAGTTCTTAGGTGAAGAAGTTTTTTTATTTAAGGGGGATAATTTGATATTTTTAGAATAAGAGTTTGAAAAGTATAGTGGATTTGAACCATGGTTATCTTGGAAGTACGAATACAAAGATAGATACGATACGACATGGACACTTTAATACACCAATTTTTTTTAAAAAAAATAAAAAATAAAAAATAATAATAATAATAATAATAAGACACAAACATGGCAAGAATACGACAATAAAATAATAATATAAATTTATTATATATAAAAAAATTCCCAATTCCTCCTTTATTCATAACCATTTAAATTTGGCCCACTAAAAAAATTATATTTTTAAATATATATATATATGGCCCAAACAGCCCAAATTTTTTTAAAATGTTAGCCTTGTGACCAAACAAGTGGTCACGGAAGAAAAGATTGCAGTATAATCTTATCACCACCTCTATCTTCCTTTCTCATTCCGGGTGTGTCTCTCTCTTTTGTTGTTCTTATCCAGCGTCCTCACTCTCTCATTCTGGACGATTAACTCCCTCTCTTCTATTGTTCTCTCGTATCTTCTGTCTTCTTTCATCTTTTTTTTTTTTGTCTCTGAGCTCTCTCACTTAAAATTATAATCCCCTCTACCCAAACTTTCAAATCGAACAAAAGTAGCATGGAAGAACACGATTTTGGCAAACACATCTATAAATTTAGTTGTATTGTATCAATTTATACTTTATTTCATGATCTATTTCTTGAATCTTTTTCATGGACCCTTTTTCTTTGTGTATTATATAGAGATGAATATATACACACACACACACATATATATATATAATGATATATTGATATAGCATCTTCTTCTCTCTCTTTTTTCTTCTAAAAGATTCAGTTGGAGTGTCCTATATCATGTCGTCGGCATGTCCTTTGCATGTCGTCGGCGTATCCTCTGATCCCAGATTAAATAAAGTAAAAATAGGACATGGTAACAAGGTGTCGAGCATGTGTTCGAGCCTCGGATACGTGTTTGACACTAATACGTTACGCACTTAAAACGTGTCTGGTTATCAATGCATATGTTTAATTCAACCAAAGTGACAAATTAAAATTTTATCTTAGGCGCTTAAAGTTATACATTTTGGCCCCTTAACTTGCATGTTTTGTTCTCTTAGTAGTAGTTTATTTGTGATTTTATATTGTTTTATTGTTTTTATTTATTTCAGTGTTTTAATTGTAATATCAGTCAAGACTAGTGATTTCGAGTTTTAAAAGATGACATTCCGTGAGACTGAGCAATGATAAAGATTCAAGTCTAATTAGACTTAGAAAAGAGTCTAAGAGAAGCTACAAGTTGATGAGATTGGAAAGAAGAATTCTTCTCCAACTAGGAAACTTTCTCCAAAGTTGGTAACTTGAACCCGTTTTGATAATCTGTCTGTATCTCTTTCCTTGAATGTTAAAACAGCTAAATTCACGCATTTGTTGAAAGAAAATTCAAAAAGCTACAATTTTGTATTTCGCAAAAAATTCATAAAACAGTTGTTTACCTTGTCAAAATTGGGCTGGAAGTCTATATGAATTTTGGAATCCTTGTTTGGCAGATTTTCCATATATGTCTTCTATGTGAAAAAGGGAATTTTAGGGATGATCTTCTATTATTTAAAGGGAGTTCTCTACATCATTAGAGGATCATACAGAGGAGCTTGAGGCTGAGATCAGAAAAGAAGCATTCAGAAGAAAGAAGGGATCAATTCATGGCGATGAAGAGAGTCTTCCTCAACCATGAAGAATTCCACTCCAATCATGCTTGGCTAAACGCTTTGTTAGGGTTGTGATGTAGACCTAGCTTAGCACCATTGGTGTAACGATCCGAGTTTTTATTCAACCCGGTGTGTCAGTGATGACCCAAAAGTTGACCCGTTAACGGATCCAAATGCGGAAACAAGAAACAAGACAACGGTCTCCCAAGGCACAATACACCTCTAAGACACTTTGATGACCTTCCATGAGGTCATGGAGCCCAAAGAAATAACCGGAAGTGGAAACTAGGATAAAAAGGTTAAATGGGACCCTATGGCACCAATGAAAACCGAAGGAATGAGATCTAGTCCAAACTAGACCACGTACGCCATTAAATGGCTTGAACAAGATCAACAAGGTCAAGTGGGAACGAATGAAACAAGGTTAACCTGTCTAAGCAACAAACCAAACAAGACCCATGAGGCAGCTCCATTTCGGTCGACCGAAGTGAGCCAGGAAAAGAAGGAAGGTAAGTCTTCAGTTCGGTCGACCGAAAGGACAAACCGGTCGACCAGTTTGTGGCTTGAGATGAAAAATGGTGCTTCAACTGTTGATGTAAACTAAGATAATAGCAAACACACAATTCCTTCCCACACAAAGTCGGTTCTCACAGTTGTGTTCATATGGCCCTGAACAACTCCTGGTATTTCATGAGTGCTCTAGAAAACTTAGCCTTAGAAGTTCTCATAGAAGCGGCCCCACTTCACACTTATATAGGTGACTTCTTATTAAGAGTATCCTACTATACCCCATTTGAATTTTCAAGGTATAAGAGTCATTAAAAGCATAGCTTATCTTACTCATCGCTGTAGGTAGCACTGTCTCATCATAGAAATGGGTAGAAGATTAAATCTTCCCAGTACTTCTGGTGAGCCATTCAAAATTTCTGTTGTCCCTTTGAACCTAGATCTTGGGATCTCCAGTCAACTAGGTTGGGTTTCTATTAAGATGACTCATTAGCTTTCGGCTTTAATCCCATTCCCCTCGATGAACTATACACTTGCTTTCTTGTCAAACCTTTTGTAAACGGATCTGCTAAATTATCTTTTGACCTAATGTAATCTATTGAGATTATCCCACTTGAGAGTAATTGTCTAATGGTATTATGTCGTCGACGTATATGTCGAGACTTACCATTATACATATTACTTTGTACCCTTCCAATTGCTGATTGACTATCGTAATGTATACATATAGCGGGCACAGGTTTAGGCCAATTTGGAATATCTTCTAAGAAATTATGAAGTCATTCAGCTTCTTCACGAGCTTTATCCAAAACAATAAATTCAGATTTCATAGTGGATCTAGCAATACAAGTTTGTTTTGAAGATTTCCAAGATATGGCACCTCCTTCAATAGTAAAGACATAACCACTTGTGGATTTAGAATTCTTCGTATCTGATATCCAATTAGCATCATTGTATCCTTCAAGTACTGCTGGATATCTAGAATAATATAATCCATAACTTATGGTATATTTTAAATACCGTAGAACCCTGTTTA